TTGAATCCTTACATTAGGAAACAGAGTCCAGCAGGACACACAGTCCTAATAGATACTAACCTTTACAGTAGTCAGGTAGCCATACCCAAAAAGATACCTTAGGAAGAAATCAAGCTTCCAGAAAGATGGCAAATAAACCAAGCTGTTCCCGCTAGACCACTTATTCAACAAACTTTAGATGAGGTTTTTCATACCCAAGGAGGGAATGTGTTCCTCACCTTCAAGAGACCACCTAGATCTCTTTCCCGAAGTATGTCTAGTACTAGTTACAGAACTGCTCCATCATACAGAGTAGATCTGCCAGAGTCATCTAGACAGTCTTACTCTGAACCAACTGAGTCTATAAGACCACAATCCAGACCTCCTAGCGATACCCAACTTGAATCAAATCCTATAGTTCAAGGGGTACAATTTTCAGAAAACCAAATACCACATCGTATTTATGGATCCAGAAGGCGAAAAAGGCCTTATAGCCCTATAGGCAGTGACATGAATTTTGAACTTTGATGGATTTTACAGTAGGTAGTAAAATCAGATTAGCCCTAAACAAGGACTTACAGAAAGAAGAATACAAGACATTTAGGGAATGGTACTTTAAAATCCATACTCCTTTCTAGTTAGAACAATACAAAATTCAGTATTATGAATATTTAGAGCAACACCACATAATCCAGTCTTTTCCCCATTGGTATGTTCAAAACATAACCCCTACAGAATCTGAAATAAATGTAATTGAAAAAATCCAACAAACTTGGGTTAGTACAGATGGTCAAAACTTTGTGTCTATGCATCCACCTACCCAACCTTTGGAGTTAGAACCTGTAAGTAGTGGTACTGGTACAAAACCTTTGTCTATTACTGCTTACATGGGAGTACCTCACAAATCTCAGAATACGGATCCAGTTCTTGTTCAAGACCTAATTCCTATTCTAAAACAACATAATTATACAAACTTGTTTTTCCAAATAGCAAGCAAACAAATCACCAGAATTTAAGAAACTGTTAATCATATTAAAGACAGTTGTCATTTACAGCCAAAATCCGAAGTTAAAACTGAAATTATTCCAGTAACAATTAAACCTCCTGTAGAAGTAACCAAATTTAAGTGATCTTCTACTAAGAAAGATACATAATTTATGGATACTCTTGTCGATAAGATAAAACATCTTAGAATAGGAGAATCCTCTTCTATTAATATGTTATCCAGACAAAATATTCCTGAGGAAGAAAATTTGACACTTCCTCAAATTTCAGAAATTGAAAATGTTTTTCATAATAATACAACCACCATAAATGAAGTTCATTATGGAGAATCTTCAAGAAATAATCATAGGACTGCTCCAGCAAGACACTTTTATCCTCGCAGCACTCCTATGGATATTCTCTATGAAGAAGATTTTTTACAGACACAAAAATCATATCATGGAAAAACTATCTATGAATGGAACATAGATAATTATACAAACTTGTTTTTCCAAATAGCAAGCAAACAAATCACCAGAATTTAAGAAACTGTTAATCATATTAAAGACAGTTGTCATTTACAGCCAAAATCCGAAGTTAAAACTGAAATTATTCCAGTAACAATTAAACCTCCTGTAGAAGTAACCAAATTTAAGTGATCTTCTACTAAGAAAGATACATAATTTATGGATACTCTTGTCGATAAGATAAAACATCTTAAAATAGGAGAATCCTCTTCTATTAATATGTTATCCAGACAAAATATTCCTGAGGAAGAAAATTTGACACTTTCTCAAATTTCAGAAATTGAAAATGTTTTTCAGAATAATTCAACCTCCATAAATAAAGTTCATTATGGAGAATCTTCAAGAAATAATCATAGGACTGCTCCAGCAAGACACTTTTATCCTGGCAGCACTCCTATGGATATTCTCTATGAAGAAGATTTTTTACAGACACAAAAATCATATCATGGAAAAACTATCTATGAATGGAACATAGACGGCCTTTCAGAATACCAGATATTTGAGTTATTACATCAAATGATCATGTATTCAACAATTTGCAAACAGAATGAGAATGACGATCATGAGATTGCTCGATTCTTAGTTAATGGTTTTACCGGCATCCTTAAAGGATGGTGGGATAATATTATAACAGATATCCAACAAACAGAAATTCTTACAGCATTTAAAACAATTACAGATCCCTCAACAGGAACTGTTCAATTTGAACAGGACGCTGTTTATACTCTTATCAACACCATTCTACACCATTTTGTAGGAGCCTCTCCTGATGGTTTAGAAGATAGGAGTAGAGAACTTTTACAGAACTTAAGATGTCCATCTTTATCTCATTTCAGATGGTATAAAGATGTGTTCATGATGAGAGTAGTAAGACGATCTGACGCCAACAGTGAACATTGGAAAGCCAAATTCATTGATGGTCTTCCTACCCTCTTTGCTGAAAGAATAAGAAAAAAACTAAGAGATAAGCATAGTAAAATGTCTATTCCTTATTCAAAATACACTTATGGTCAACTCATAAGAATTGTTACAGAAAAAGGTCTTGCTCTTTGCAATGATCTAAAATTACAGAATCAAATGAAAAAACAAAGTCATAATGAATTAGGTAAATTTTGTGAACAATTTGCTTATGATACTAAAATTCAGTAACCATCCAAACATAAACATAAAAAACATTAATATGGAAAATCTTCCAAAGATTATTCCAAAAAATATAAGAAAAAGAAATATTATAAACAACCAGTCCAGCAAACCCAGCCTTCAAAGGCCAAAGGAAAAGAGAAGAAATCTTATCCTCAAAAGGATAAGACTATAGTTAAATGTTACAAATGTGGACAAATTGGTCACTATGCTAATCGTTGTAAAGCTAAGATACAACAGAAATTAAATGAATTAGCTTTGGACGATGAAATCCAGCAACAAATTCTTCAAATGCTTTCTGAAGATTCTGATTCAGATTCTACTTCAGATGATGGCATTGCAGCCATGTATTCACCATCCTCTGATACTGATGCTGAATCCTCTCCAGAAATTTGTGCTTGTAAACCACAACTAAATCAAATTACAGAAGAAGCTAACTATTGGAAAGCAATAGTTGAAATGAATGGACTTGATATTAGCAGTCCTAGTATCAATGTTCTTACAGATGATCAGCAGCAGATGTTAAATATTGCTGAACAAATCATAGATCCAGAAATGAAATTAAAATTTCTTGAATTATGTTATCAACAGCATAAAAAAGAAGAAATTTTGCCTCCAAAACATTACAGTATGAAAGAAGTATATAACAAAGTTAAAAATACTTCTGAAGAAAAACCCATAACGATTCAGGATTTAAAAACGGAAGTGAATGCTTTAAAAATTGAAATTAAGCATTTACAAACAGCAAATATTACTATCAATACAGATCTTAAGAAATTAAAAACCCAAGTTAATTCAAAGGAAAAATTAGAATTAACTGAATCCAGTAATACTCAAGATTCATCTGTTGTATATTTGAATCTTATTAATCGAGTTACTTTCCAGAAATGGTATATCAAAATTACCTTTATGATAAAACCCGATTTTATCATAAAAGATGCCATTGCTCTTGTTAATAGTGGTGCTGATATGAATTGTATTTAGGAAGGATTAATTCCTACTAAATACTTTCATAAAACCACCCAATCACTCACAAGTGCAAGTGGTAATTCTTTATACATCCAGTATAAAGTTCCAGAAGTTTGAATCTGCAACCAAGGATTATGTCTTCCCACTTCTTTTGTTCTTATTGAGAACATCTCTCAGGCCATAACCCTAGGAACTCCTTTTCTGTGTTTACTTATGCCAATCTCTAAAATTGATTCAATTGGCATACATACAACTTTAAATAATCAAAAGATTATTTTTGAGTTTATTACCGAACCTTATACAAAAGAATTAGATCAAATTAAAGATCTAGTTAATTTTAAAGAAAAACAAATTAATTTCTTACAAAAAGAAATTAGTTTTCTTACTACAGAACAAAGACTTCAACAGTCTTCTTTCCAGCAAAAAATTAAATCTCTTGAACAAGAATTCAAAGATGAAATTTGCAGTGATATTCCAAATGCTTTTTGGGATAGGAAGAAACATATTGTTTCCTTGCCTTATGAACCAGGATATGATGAGCGGAAAATCCCTACTCGCGCTCGACCAAGTCAAATGAAAAGAGAGTATTTAGAATTGTGTAAAACAGAAATTAATACTCTTCTCCAGAAAAAGCTTATTCGCTCCAGTAGATCTCCTTGAATTTGTACTGCTTTTTATGTTAATAAAAATGCAGCAATTGAAAGAGGTGTGCCAAGATTAGTCATAAACTACAAACCTCTTAATGAAGCCTTACAATGGATAAGGTATCCAGTTCCAAATAAAAAAGATCTTTTAGATCGTCTCCGGGATGCAGTCATATTTTCTAAATTTGACATGAAATCAGGATATTGGCAAGTCCAAATTGCTGAACAAGATAGATATAAAACTGCTTTTACAGTACCTTTTGGGCATTTTGAATGGAATGTTATGCATTTTGGTTTGAAAAATGTACCATCTGAATTCCAGCATATTATGAATGATATTTTTAATCCTTATACAGAATTCTCCATTTGTTATATTGATGATGTCTTAATTTTCTCTTCATCAATTGACCAGCATATGAAACATCTTAATATTTTTAAGCATGTTATCATTAGAAATGGATTAATTGTTTCTGCAGCAAAAATGCAGCTTTTTCAGACAACAGTCAGATTTTTGGGCCATAACATTCATAATGGTACCATAATCCCTATCAACTGCCCCCTGATGTGAACTTAAGTTCCACTTGGGTTTTCATCATACATGTATTCCTGAAACATCGTCAAGTTTAAAAATCAAGCTCAAATCTTTATTTATTCACTTCGACAAGTAATCAAAAGAGGGAGAAAAAAACTATAATGAAAGAAAAGTTTCAAATTGCAAGTTTTCCAAGGTCTTGACAATTCTTTGCCCCCATTATCTTCAAGCCGATATACATAGGACCTCTACGTCGTTGTCTTCGATTTCTGCCCTTTGTATATTGCAGGTGAACTGCATTACTGCCATGGAGCAATTTTTTGACTGCAACTGATCTCCTCGGACCTCTTCTATCCCACGTTCTGTTGGGAACGGCAATAGTTGGTGTAATGTCGAGGGAACTGCCCTCATTGCATGCAACCATGGCCTTCCCAGAATTGCATTATAAGGGGATGGTGTGTCGATGACGGTGAACTCTGTCTTGATCTTCCTAGTGCCAGCCTGTACCTCTAAGTTTAATGCTCCCAGTGGCCATGTCGGTGTTCCATTGAATCCGACCATCGGGCCGTTGGATTGCTCCATGTCATCGAAATGAAGGCCGAGCTCTTTGTAACATCTGACGTACATGATGTAACAAGAGCTTCCTTGGTCAATCAGGATGCGTTTCACTTGGCACTCCCCAACCTGGAGGGATACTACCAAAGCATGATTATGTGGGTGCTGGACCATCTCTAGGTCGGCTCCGGTAAAAGATACTACTGGTCCCAAGCAGTCATCTGCCCGATTTCTCTTGTCCCCGACTTGGTAGACATGTTGCAAGTGTTTCACCTTCTGAGTCTCCCCCCTAATTTCGTTCTCATTTACCTTCGAGTGAATTACATTAATTACCCGAGGTCCTCCAGCCTGAGGTTGCTGTGCTGGGAGAGGCGGAGCTGCTTGTGCTTCAGGTAATCTTGCCTGTTCTTCTCTCGTTCTGGCCTCGTCGACAAGGTCTCTCAGATGGCCTTGCCTTACTAAGTCTTCCAAGTGTGCTTTCAGGGCCCTACAACCCTGAGTCATGTTCCCCTCTTCATTGTGGTAAGCACAACGTCTGCCAACGTTCCTTCTCATAAGTTCTCCCGGTGCTCTTTCCGGTGTTCTGAAATAGGGCCGGTTCCGAATTCTATCCAGGACTCTGTGGATTGGATTCAGAACACCGTTGTTACTGCCTGTGCAGCCCTCAGTTCTACTTCTGGCCTGTTGGGTCCGTTGTTACCTCGGCCTCGCTTCGGCGAGCCGTTGGTTTTTTCTTGCTTCGTCTCCTTATTCCCTGACGTATCTTCTTTGGCTCTAGCGTACTTCTCGATTCTGGCCATGAGCTATTCCATACTCTTTGGCAATGTCTTTGCCAAAGACTTCCGTAGTGGACAATCATCTTTTAGGCCATTTTTGAAAGACACGGCCGCCACCTCTTGGTTGCATTCGGGTATTCGATTGAACACCTCATAGTACCTTTTTGCAAAGGCCCTAAGGCCTTCTTCCTTACTGATTTTTAGAGCCATCAACGCGTCGACCCCTAAAGGCCGTAATTTATTTGTCACGAACCTGGTACATCATGCCCATGCCAGCTTGGGGTATGCATCCTCATGTAACCCACACTCTTGAGATCCGTTCCAAGGAATCTCGTTACAACTATTGGGATTATATTGATGCCTTTTCTCTGGCATTCTTTTATATGGATCCCCTACGGAACCATTCTTGGTTTATCCGTGTCCTTCTAGAACTTTTCCAAAACGATCTCCCAAACTGGTTTCTCGTTTGGTAGGATAAGTTTGGCATTCAAATTGATGCTTTTCCAGAAGATGTTCACAATGCATTCAAAGAATGGCAAATTGCATACAGTCACCTTCCAGGATATAAGGACATATCTATTTCCAAATCTACAGTTCATTTTGTAATCCGCTTTGGAATCCCTTGGATTTGGAAGTGGGATTTTCAATGTGATTTTCAGAATAACATCCCCGTTTAAAAAGAGTTTTCTTTTATAAATGGTGGAATAAGATGGATGATCCAAAACCCCATCAAGAATTGCTCCAGAAAATTAAAGGTCATACTCAGGCCTGCTGGGATGCTGCTCCTAAGTTAATCCCAGCTGCACCAGTCCGGAATCCTTTTGTCCAAGTTCAAAATGAATTAAGGCAAAAATATCCAGCACTCTCAGAATAAGAATTAGTCATCAAAAGCATGGACTATATGAAAGAACAATTTCTCCAGTCATTCTCCAAAGATGATACCAGTATGAAATCTGGTACCAGTCATGGTGATCCAGATGATGAAACTCATACTGATCCGTATGAGGATGAAAATGAATTCACTGTTCTAGCCGGTGAATCGTAAGATCCAGCCGAAGCCGAAGCCGACCCTAGTTTTGGTAACTTATGGGACTCTCTCACAAGCATGATTGCCGACAAGATGAGTCAAGAAAACGACAAGGAAAAGGAAAAGAGGAATAATTTGCCTCTTTGTTTCCCTCATTCATACAGCATCACTTTACAGCACCATGCTACGACAAAATAACTTTCGGTAGCAACTTTACAGCTCCACAATGTGCCAAATTTTTGGCCAAAAGCAGATTCCTTCATCTGCCTTATCCTCTAGCTGTCCATCTACTAACAATTCAAGATAAGGGAATCCAAGGATATAAGATGTTCGACACCACCGCCATTCAGGACACGGCACTTGTCTCGCTTAATCTTATCCCTTTACTTTTATTTTTCTATTTAAGGGATGCCACACCCTTGTTGTAGGCACGGATTAATATTTTTAGTTTTTCAGTTTTCATATTCTGCACTCTCTCCCTCTCTCTCTCTCTCAGTGTGTACTTTCTCTCTTTACTTTGTGAAGTAATATAAAAAGTTTGCCGTATTGAAGTAAGTATTGATTGTAAGTATTTCTTTCTTTTATTTAATGCATGTCTATATATTCTCTGTCTATATTAAATGAGAGTTTAGATTTTTATCTAACAAGAAAAAATAATCTTGAATATTATTTATCTATTTGGCCTAATGATTCTTGGGCTCTCCAAGAATTAGAAACCTGTAATCAAAAGATTACACAAGTCCAGACTCAACTGAACGAACAGATTTGCCTTTTGGCTACGGCCATTCGGCCTCTCCCTCCAGCACAGTAGACCATGAGACCATATATGGCATAATTAAGATAAAATAAAATAAACTATAATAAATATTATTCCTGGGTTACTGCTTAATGATAGGTAGAACAGAGTTAGGTTTAGTGGGACGTCACCCAAGTCGCGTAGTGTCAGACCATTAGCAGTGATTGCGGTTAGGTCATTTGATCACGTAAGTCGTTGACAGACGTCCTAGCTTTGCCCTGTGTCGAGCACCATTATTGGTATCAGAGCCATGTTTAATGTTCATTATAGTTAGTTTTATTTAATTTTAATTATGCATATATGGTCACATACATCCATACATGAGTACTGAACCTACAGAAGGAATAGCCTCAGTGGCAAATACAGTAGCCAATACAGTAGCCTCTACATCAGAGGCCAGAGAACTCGTTGCTTACCAGGATGTAAAGGAAGCCCTTGATAAGTGGACTATCCCTAAGGTCAAACCAGATACTATCTATAAGATAGGAACTTTTGACTTTTCCAGTAAGAAAATAATCAAAACATTTGAGCATGCTATGCCTGTCCAGAATAATGATGAGATAATATATCTCCTTCATTTCCAGGATTTATATCCTTTTATCCAAAAGTATAAATATGTCCATATAGGACTTGTCCAGATAGCCTTTAAGCCTTTGACACTTCTAGGTCAAAATACCAGTCTCCAGTGTACGCTGAGAGATTGAAGATGCACAGATTGGAGAGCATCTCTTATAGGAGCTGTAGAAACCAGTCTCTCACATGGTCCAGTATATTTTGATATTTATCCAAATTTAAGTATAGCACTCTCTGATGCAAACTTATCTAAAGTTTTTGAACTCAAAGTGTTGTCCAATGGTTATGAATATCTTCCAGTATCACCACCTTATGCGGTAATTTGCAGAATTTATCTAAAAGTTTTAACAACTTTGAATCCTTACATTAGGAAACAGAGTCCAGCAGGACACACAGTCCTAATAGATACCAACCTTTACATTAGTCAGGTAGCCATACCCAAAATGATACCTTAGGAAGAAATCAAGTTTCCAGAAAGATGGAAAATAAACCAAGCTTCCCGCTAGACCACTTATTCAGCAAACTTTAGATGAGGTTTTTCATACCCAAGGAGGGAATGTGTTCCTCACCTTCAAGAGACCACCTAGATCTCTTTCCCGAAGTATGTCTAGTACTAGTTACAGAACTTCTCCATCATAAAGAGTGGATCTGCCAGAGTCATCTAGACAGTCTTACTCTGAACCAACTGAGTCTATAAGACCACTATCCAGACCTCCTAGCGATACCCAACTTGAATCAAATCCTATAGTTCAAGGGGTACAATTTTCAGAAAACCAAATACCACATGGTATTTATCGATCCAGAAGGCGAGAAAGGCCTTATAGCCGTATAGGCAGTGACATGAATTTTGAACTTTGATGGATTTTATAGCAGGTAGTAAAATCAGATTAGCCCTAAACAAGGACTTACAGAAAGAAGAATACAGGACATTTAGGGAATGGTACTTTAAAATCCATACTCCTTTCCAGTTAGAACAATACAAAATTCAGTATTATGAATATTTAGAACAACACCAGATAATCCAGTCCTTTCCCCATTGGTATGTTCAAAACATAACCCCTACAGAATCTGAAATAAATGTAACTGAAAAAATCCAACAAACTTGGGTGAGTACAGATGGTCAAAACTTTGTGTCTATCCATCCACCAACCCAACCTTTGGAGTTACAACCTGTAAGTAGTGGTACTGGTACAAAACCTTTGTCTATTGCTGCTTACATGGAAGTACCTCACAAATCTCAGAATAGGGATCCAGTTCTTGTTCAAGACCTAATTCCTATTCTAAAACAACATAATTATACAAACTTGTTTTGCCAAACAGCAGGCCAACAAATCACCAGAATTGAAGAAACTGTTAATCATATTAAAGACAGTTGTCATTTACAGCCAAAATCCGAGGTTAAAACTGAAATTATTCCAGTAACAATTAAACCTCCTGTAGAAGTAACCAAATTTAAGTGATCTTCTACTAAGAAAGATACATAATTTATGGATACTCTTGTCGATAAGATAAAACATCTTAAAATAGGAGAATCCTCTTCTATTAATATGTTATCCAGACAAAATATTCCTGAGGAAGAAAATTTGACACTTTCTCAAATTTCAGAAATTGAAAATGTTTTTCAGAATAATTCAACCTCCATAAATAAAGTTCATTATGGAGAATCTTCAAGAAATAATCATAGGACTGCTCCAGCAAGACACTTTTATCCTGGCAGCACTCCTATGGATATTCTCTATGAAGAAGATTTTTTACAGACACAAAAATCATATCATGGAAAAACTATCTATGAATGGAACATAGATGGTCTTTCGGAATACCAGATATTTGAGTTATTACATCAAATGATCATGTA